TTCAATAAAAATTAAAATTAAAAATATTAAGTTGTTTTGTTTGCACAAGCTCTTATACAAGTCTGTTTTCATTTCTAAAAGCCTCTTTTAAATCTGCAAGCCTCTGCATACATTCTTAAGAGGTGGGATACTAGTAAGACCCAAAATCAATGAATATTTTATTAGTTGGCAAGTGAATAAAAATGACGATTTGTCAAGAACAAAGCACTAAGCCCATTTTTTCAGCCTGTGTTGTACTCAAAGATATCTTTCATATGTTTTGCTTACGTCAGCATATGGTTTTAAATGCATTACAGAGATTAAATGAATTACTGAATAGAGTCATATGGTCTAATAACATAAATCAGCATTTCCCAAACTGATATTTCTCAGAACCATTTCCAAGAGCTGCTTTGTGGGTAAAAGAAGAGTTCTGTGGTTAAGTGTGGGAAACTCTTACTTCAACACCCTCATTACACTGCATTTCTGAAAGCCTTCTCAGGGCCTTTAATATGCTAATGTACGCTGTAACTTTTCAAGGGGCAAGACAAGATTAGGAAGCCCTGCCCTTAGCTGGCACAGTAGCTTTCCGTGTGTGTGGGTGGCATATACTTAACATTTCCGTTCAATACAGATCCCAAAAAAAGACTGACATAATTCAAATTTTATATTTTATGTTATGTATTCCTTCAAAATAAAATTCTAAAGCAAAAAAAAGATGGGCAAAGTCTTCATAGTATTAACAGCAGTATTGATAAGAATAAAACCATTATCAAAAGCATCATGATGCTAACTACATAAACCAAGTACATAAAACCTACTTTATTAAGAATATGTATATTCACCTGATGGCTAATTTGGGAGGTAAGGTGTTCAATATCCCCTGTAAAGTGTTCTAGCCTTTGTCTGTACACTTTCGATGCCTTTTTCAGAGCTGCAGCTTTTTGCCTATGTGCTTCTTGGACTATTTCAGCTTCACGTTTGTTCATTTTCACCTGCAAGGTCCACTTGGCTATTTGGGTTTCCAAGCTCTAAAAGAGACAACAGGAGCAAATAAATTACTTCAGAATGCCAATGTTTATATAAACATTATAGAAAATGTATATCACCTTCCACACAGATTTTATCAACAACTCATTGTAAGATTAACTAAAAAGTAAAACAGTGACAAAACATGATTCAACCAATGCTTTTTCGTAACAAGCTAAAGAAATCAAATACAAAATATTTAAGTCTACATAAAACTAATGCTACTTTTTTAAAGCGTCTAATATTAGTGATTATGGTACAAATATCAACTTCCTTAAAGCTCTAGTAATATGACATTTAGTTTGCATCTGAAATATGACACAAAGTACTTGTTTAAAAAACATACACAAGGACTGGAAAGATGGCTCAGCTTAGAGTGTATTACCTGCATGTGTTTAAATGCACCCGTATCATGCAACACCCATGGAGGTCAGAAGAGGGCACTGGATTCCCTTGGCACTGGAGTTACAGATGGTTGTTAGATACCATGAGGGTGCTGGGAATCAAGCCTGAGTCCTTGATAAGAGCAATCAGTGCTCTTAACCCCTAAGCCATCTCTCTACCCCCTATAAATTATTTTTCAAAAATACATACATAAGCAGCCAGGAGTACTGGCGCACACCTTTAATCCCAGCACTCAGGAGGCAGAGGCAGGTGGACTCTGTGAGTTCAAGCCCAGGCTGGACTATATAGTGAGTTCCAGGACAGCTGGGGCTACAGAGAGACCATGTCTCAAAAATACCAAAAAAAAAACAAAAAAAAAAATACATTAAGTTAGAACTATGGCCTGAATGATAGGTAAGCAAAGCCCCAAGGGAACTGGCAGCTCACCAAATAAACAAGAGCTCCTTGAAACCAAGGAAAGCTTAAGAGATAGATTTCAAGATGTATAGGTCATGAAGGATATATATGAGATAAACATAGACTTATTTACCAAATATTTAATATTAGAATTAGGAAATGTACTCTGATACTAGAAAAATTTACAGTAAGGACAATAAAAGTACCACTCTATCCAATTAGTAGTAAATGAATGAAATGATCAACTCCAACACCAAACACATGTTTAGATAAATTAATGACAATCCACAAGGGCAGGCTTCTGTCCGTTCAGTGGCAAGGAGCTAAGGGGTACATCCAATTCCATAAAGCTCTTGGTGACAAATGAGAGAGAGGATTAACCTCAGCAGACAAGAGAGCTGGTCTACTATGACAACTTTTGTTATTGAGTGTTAAGTATGTAAGAACTAAAGATTTAAGACTGTAATGCTTTTATATTTTGAAAGTTTTGTGTGTAACACTGTAAAAAATCTGAAATTATAGAATTTGTGTTTGAGTATCCCATTCCTGGGACAGTCATTTTAATTGAAAGTAAATTTAGAAGGGGTTGACAGTAAGAGATGTTTTATTCTTAGTCCTATGACCAAGAAAAACAATGCTTCTTTACTTTGGCTAAACCTGAGATTAAGAAGCCTGTAGATCTGACACCTGAAGACTGATTAGGTATCTCTCTTCAACTGTCTAAACTTTATTTAAATGTATATTAAACAAAAAAATATAAAAATCCCCAAAATCACTAATAAATAATTAGGGGGGGGGGGAGTTAAGTCCACTTATGAGAAAAAAAACAGCTCAGAGGACATACAACACCATTCCTCTAAAAGGCCACAAGGTGTCAGCATTGCACTATGACTAGTCCCTACAGCTGCTTGAAAACTTGATAAGGACATGAATTAGAGGTTCCTAGAGGTGTGGGAGGGGAGAGTGGATACAACCAAAATATATTGTACACATGTGTAAATTTTTCAAAGAATAAATAAAAAGTATACAATTTTTTAAGGACAATTGCAACTGGATTTTCTTCCTCAGTTTTATCAAAACCAAACCACTATCAGAAATACATTGAAATTATCAAATTTTTACAGTTTCAAAATAAACACTCATTTATCAAGTGAATGGACACATATTTAAGCTGATTATATTCCCCAAGTAGGATATATAGTAGATACTTGTGTGTTATATGCACATATACATAGTAGGATATGTAGAATATTTTTATATATATCGTATATATGTGTATATATAGATGGTTGCCAGGCTAGATCACTCACACACACACACACACACACACACACACACACACACACACACACACCTCCCTTGAGATTAAAGGCCGGTGCAGCCTGGCCAAATCTGCTTACAGTGGGACATGTAGTATGGCTTATATATTCTATTAAACACTATCTCTTATTCACTATCTCTTCTAAAAATATTCTAATTGACACATTACAAAGATTTAGAAAGAAAAATTGATTCAAAGCATCCCTGGGACAGTTCTCAAAGTTTCAAAATGCAAAGTCTTAAAAGATCCAATGAAACAAATGGACTGACAACAGTGAGACACTGAGATTTATCTTGCCAAACTGAATTTACTGTTTCTACTCGTAAATTTCTTAGATTTAAAAATCAAAAACTAAATTGGGACCTCTCCCCATTACTTGCTGCTTTAAATTCCTTTAAGTATGAAGAGAATGGAAAATGAATAACTTCAAGCAACTTCTTCCCATCATTTCTTAACAGTAGCTTCTGTTCCTTTGGTTGGTTGCTTGCTTGTTTTGTTGTTTTGTGTTTGTTTTTTTGTTTTGGTTTGGTTTTGTTGTTTGTTTTGTTTTTTGTTTTGGGGAGCCAGGGTCTGGACGGGCCTGGCTGTCCTGACACTCACAGAGCTCTGCCTGACTGTGCCTCCCTTGGGATTAAAGGCCTATATAGCATGCTCAGCAAACAGCAGCATTTTTGAAAAAGAATCTGAATTTCAGGTATGAGGCTGGAGAATGTCCCAGCAAAATCTTCAGATTTTTAGTCCTATGTTGTTTCTCCAAACAATTGAGTATATTAAAAACAAAAAAACCTTGTTAAATTTAACTTTAAAAAGAATTCATTTTTTTTTATTTTTAACCTTTAAAAACCTTTCCAACTGTCATTTAAGGACATTATTAATTGTGTAGGATCATCTTAGGTAGATCGATGGTTGCCAGACTAGATCATATTTTTTGCCTGTGGGTATTACAGCACTGGCATATCAAACCCATTCCATCCGTGCCCTACCTTACTGATGCAGAGGACAGAGAGAATCTGTAGGAACTATGGGGGAAGAGGCTCAAAGGAACAGGTAAGGGGAACAAAGGATTATTTGCTACTGACAGGTTCAAGAAGAGGGGGAGTCAGTGCCTTCAGCTGGTTACCCACTGGGTGACCCCACCAGGCACCAATGGATAGTTCCAATTCAATGGTCACACAGATGGCCCTGGCTAAACTAAGTGGGTCACAAGAATCATGAGTCTAGGAGGGATGAAGGAGATGCCAGGGATGGAGAGGGGATGTAGGGGGGAATAACGGAATACATTATGTACATGTATCAAATTGTCAAAGAGCAGAACTATTTTTAAAAATTTACATCTTCCATAAATCCATTTAATATCCTCATGAAAGGCAAAAACTTTTTGCCACTGTAGGAAAAAATAAAACACCCAAGTGCAGTTTTGAAGCAGATGCCTCAAGCAGACATCTGCTGAGATTCAGGACAATAAAAGCAAACGGGAGTCTACCTCGAAATCCTCATGCTCAATGAGGATGGAGTCTGCACACTTCTCTGAAAGCAGGAACACTGTTTCTTTTCCTTTGGCAAAAATAATGACAGTGGATCCAACTAGGTTGTGATATGTGACAGCACCCCAAGTTCCTACCTCAGATTGAGTGTGACTTGGAACATATACTTAACTCCAAATTCCTTTTAATTGCACTGCTACAATTAAGAGCTGCTCAATGATAAGACTAGAAAAGCCAGGTTAGCTGACTTTAAAATTATCATGGTTAGTAACAAAAGAAAATTACTGATTGCCTATTATATGTGTGAGAATAAGTATGCAAGGCTGGAAGGCTGTAGAAAAAGACTGGCGTAAAATACACCAAGTTATCAATCCTGTTGGTGTTCTTAAGCTATTTTTAGCTTCTTTATTTTCCAAATTTAGTAAAAATGTCCACAATAAACATGAATTAACTGTACCATGAGGAAGATTTTAGAGTAACTCAATTTCCATACATTCTTCCTACCCTGGTATAAAAAAGAGATAGCATCTTTATACTGGGACTTGGACCTAAATATCTGGAAGGGCTAAAAATCATCTGATTAAAATTTATAATCATTAAGTATTTCTTTTCGTTTTTTAGTGGGGGGATTCTTTTAGAGACAGGGTCTCCCCGTAGCCTCAACTGGCCTGGAACTCACTATGCAGACCAAGTTGGTCTAGATCTCATAAAGATCTGCCTGCTTCTGCCTCCTGAGTGCTGGGACTAAAGGCGTGCACCACCACACCTAGCTAAGATCAATATATATTTCTTATGGAAACACTAAAATTAAATTATTTTACTAACACCCTACTTCACAAATAAAGAATGCTGCTGGAGTTTTTCATTAATTGTTACTTAAACTATAACCTTCATGTACTCCTTCAACTTATCATTCTCTGCTTCCCGCTTCTGAATTTGGAGCTGCAGTCGATCGTGTACTACTTTTACTGACTGAGAGAAATGGTTTGCTTTCAAAGCATTTTCCTGTAAAAGAAAAGAAAAAAGGTTTATTTGCCATAAATCCTCCGTACCCACATAATGGGTCTGCCAGATATAATGTGAAAAGCCGGCAAAGCAAAGTACCATTTTTCATAAACAGTGGCCCCACTAATGCATTTTATGTAAACCTAAGGAGGCTTTTTCTCTTTGATATTTTATTTAATAATTATCTCCTTTAAAAAATTCTCACTTATCCTAGTAACTAAAACATAGTATTGCCAAAAAGCTTCCTAAAAACACCAAAACGCTTTAATTTGTCCCCAAATCAAAATATAATACAAATTCATAGCGTATAATTTGGGGTTTTTATTTGTGTGTGTGTGCGTGCGTGCGTGTGTCTGCGTGTTAGTGTATGCTCATGTGCATGTGTGTATGTGTTTGTATGTGTGTGGGTATACACAGATGCACAGGAGTGACATGTGTGTAGAGACCAGAGGACAATCTCAGGTGTCATCTTCAGAAACACCACCTCCTTTGAGACCGTCTCTTGTTGCTCGTTGGCCTGGAGCTAGACAATTAGGTGAGGCTGGCTGGCCAGCGAACCCCAGGGATCTTCCTGTCTCAGTCTCCCCAGCTCTGGAATTATACACATGACTACCAGGCCCGGCATTTTACAATGGTTCTGGGAATTAAACTCAGGTCCTAGTTTCCACAAGGAAAGCGCTTTAATATCTTCCCAAGTTTTAGAGTAATAATCTGTAATGATTTAGACCAAGAAGCCTGAGATAACATAAAACTAAACAAACAAAAAGACTAAAAATTTAAGGTGTATATTTGATAGATAAAACAGTGATAGAATCTAAACTGTCAAAAAGCCTTTATTGTGTTTATTTCTGCTGACATGAAAACAGAGTGGGAGGAAAGGAAGAGAGAATCAATATTTTTAAAAGATGATGAATTAAGGTCAAAAACTTAAATTATGTTTACCTTTTCATTCTGAAACAGACATGAAAGTTCGTGAATATAGGTCTCCTTTTCAAGTACCTTCTTCTTAAGATTCTTCCGCAAACATAAGAAATAGAAATTTCACAATTCAGTAACATTATTTAAATTGCATAACGAAGCAGCATACAAACAAGCAGAAAATGTCAGAAAGACTGGATACCCAGGGGAAAACAAACTCACCGTATTTTTACTCTCATTGTCACTGAGGTCCTTTAACAGCATGCTGGGTACGTTGTCTCCTGTCTGTGAAGAGATATGACAAGTCAATGTTCAAAACTACATTTCTCTGTATTAAACAATAAAACAGAATATGCAACACTTTAAAGACCAACATGAATAGCAACTACACACAGTGCAGACTTCTGAAAGTTAAGATACTTGTCTGTCTAAAGTGTTCAAAAGCACATTTTTCCATGATTTATGAGAAATAACCTCAAAAGAATGGCTCATTAAGTATAGACCAATGATGTAACTCTAGCATTCATTAAGAAAATTCTAGCATTAAGAAAATCTTTATGACAGCAAACCAGTAACAGAATTCTATATGTAGCCATGAACATTTGCTTATTTCTGAGGGTCACCCTCCTACTTGAGAGTGTGAAGATGCCATGCATTCTCTCCATCTAAAGAACATATACATATACATATAATGCAAGGCTGCACACACAATTCCAAAGGGTTCATGGATTTCACAAAGTCCATTCTAGGACTCTGTCACTGTCACAGAGTTCAAGGTAAGATTCCCTATTGTTCCACAAACAGTTAATAAATAAAGGGCTAGGGATGTATGAGGTCAATGGTAGGCTACTTAACTAGCAAACACCAAGCCCTAAGTTCAAGTCTCACTGAGAGAATGTATATATGTATAAAGGGAGATCACTTCAAGACACTGGAAAAGAGTTTTTTTGGAAAACATACATAAAGCACACGAAACAAATGCAAAATAGACAGATGTGATTACAGGAAATTAAAAACAACGAATAACAGACACAATAGAGATGATTGACAGAACAAGAGAAAGTATTTGCAAACTATAGCTCTCACAGGAATTGAAATAAGAATAGAAATGAACTCCAAAACTCGACAGAAAAAAAATTAAAAATTGTCAATAGAGCTAGGAAGATATTTTTCAAAAGAAGATATACAAATGGCCAATAGGTACATGAAAGTCTTCAGCATCACTAATCATCAGAGAAAAGCAAATCCAAAGTACAATGGGTATTATTATCTCACTCAGTAGGAGCAATTGTCAAAAGAACAAGAAACAACAAGGTTTGAGAATAGGGAAGCCTAACATACAGATGGTGGCACTGAAAATCGCTCAGACACAGAAAATACTACGGAGAACTACCATGAGATCCAGAAATCCCTACCAGGTAGACTTCAAAACGAAACAAACTCTGTTGATATCCAGACCTCCCATTCCAACGTTTCGCATACTAGCCAAGAAAGTGAAACATCCTTTAATGTCTACCAACTAATGAAGAGATAACAAATATGGGCATACATATATTATGGAATACTGTTAAGCCTGTCAGTTTCTTCAGTGTGGACAGAAATGGAAATCATGTTAAGTGAGTAAGTTGGACACAAAGAGACAAATATGATGTCACTCATATGAAAAATATTAAGTCTGTTTTAGGCCTGGGCATGGTGGCACACACCTTTAATCCCAGCTCTCCAGAGGCAGATACAGACAGAGCTCTGGGAGTTCAAGGCCAGTCTGGTTTACATGGTAAATGCCAGGCCAGCTGGGGCTACAGAGAGACCCTCTCTGAAAAAAAAAAAAATTTTTTAAGTTGGTTTTATAGAAGTTGAGAATAAAATGGTAGTTACCAGATTTCAGAAAGAGTAGCTAGGAGGGAGGGATAGGGAAAACGTGATCAATGGGTGTTAAGTTTTAGATAAGAACCAGAAGTGCTGGTATACTATTGCACAGTAGGGTGACTCTAGATAGTAATGTGCTGAATGTTTCAAAAGGCTGAAGAAAGGCTTCTGAAAGTTTTATCATAAAGAAATGAAAATTACTTCAGGAGACATGAACACTTAGGCAATGTATACATGCAATGGCCCTATATGAATACCACCAATACATAGTTTTTATGGATTATATACCAGTTAAATTTTTTAATTGTAAAAAAAAGAACACATGTGTAACATGATATAGGGAAGAGCTTGAAACCGTAAGAATTTTAGGTTTTATTGTAACCAGCCAAATGAAGTAACAGCAAAAGTAGGACTTTAATGAGTAATATTTCAAACAGAACTTCAAAGCATTATTTCTATTTCAATATACAATAGTTTCAGTTTCAGTTACAGGAAAGAGCATTTCCCTCAAGCAGGAAACAGGAGCACAGCAGTGCAGTGTTGATGCCTTACTTGTTTGTAGTCTGCTTTTTCAAGAAGATGCCCTAAGGCTAATTTCACACGGTTAAAAGTGTCTAATTCTTTGGATAATATTTCCTTCTGTTCAGAAATCTTCAAATTGGAGCTACAAAGATTAGCCTGACAAAATAAAAGAACCAAACATACATTTTAAGACAAAATTAAGTTAAAACACTCTTAAAATGATATTATTGAAGCACAGTTTTTTTCCTAGTAACAAAATCATTATTTTCCATACAATAATGGTAAACTTTGCCAAGCTTATCAGTAGTGGATAAAATCTATTACATGGTACCTTAAATTAAAATAAAATAAAGGGGCTGGAGAGATGGCTCAGTGGTTAAGAGTACTGGCTGTTCTTGCAGAAGACCCAGGTTCGATTTCCAGTACCAATATGGAGGCTAACAACTGTCAGTAACTCTAGTTCCAGAGGATCCAACACCCTCTTCTGGCCTCTGCAAGGAAATGCACACATGTGGTGCACTTACATACATTCAGGAAAAATGCCCATACACATAAAATAAAAATAATGAAACTAGAACATTTTTTCAAAAATTAAAAAATAAATACATAAAATAAAAAACAAGTGCTAAACTCCATAATATTGCAGCTTTATGCTAATAGAAGTTGTAGAACACAATCCATTTTTGTCCCTAAGTCAAGTTTTAGTATACTAGAATTGTAAAATAGTCTTCTATTCCAAATAAAACACTATAGAAAATAGATATGTTTCCTAATGCCAATGATTTTAGTTTTAAGACGGCTCTTCAGAAAAGTTCATTCTCCAGTTCAAGGCCAGGTAACTCAAACATCAGCAGATTCCAGCTTAGCCCCTTATTTGGTGCACATCTGAGAGACCTTTTAGGAAAAGAATTTCAGTTAATGACAGGAATAAAGCATTAACCAGACCTCATTTTTGGTATCAAATACCTACCTGCACATGGACATCCTTACCAAAATTGGAAACCTCAGTCAGGGCATTCTGAATATTATGCTACCTTTGTACCTTATTAGCTGTTCTTAGTCAAATACTCACACTGTCTAAACTAATTCCTTCCACAGTCCTCTTAAATAACGGCAAAAGTAATTCTACCGAGCAGGATGCCGACTCAGCTTCCTTCAGTGTTGCCTCCAGTCCCGGCTCCGCACTGAGGGAGTCCTGCTTGAGGCTAGTGACAAACATACACATAACAAATTTAAGTTACATCTATCACATAAGCTGGCAATACTTTTATGTAAATATAATATAGATTAGGCTAAATATTTCAGGTCTATAAATTATAAAATGCAATAGTAAATGTCACTGAGTATGTGTGTATTCTCCCCTGTACTTGCAGGCCTCTTCTATGGTTTCTATGTAGAGAAAAGTAAGTTTTAAAAGGTTAAAATATATAAAACAAATGTTTAAGTTCACTGTGTTTAACCATTTCCCACACCTCTCTCTTCCTTAAAAAATGAATTATATGAACATGTGTTTCCTTTTTTTCTTCTCTTTTCTCTTCTCCAAATTCAAAAGATTTGTCTTTCTTGACTTATATCCAACGGTTCCCATGAAACTTATCCTTCACAAAAAGCTTGAATAAGCTAAATGGAATACGAAATCTAAAGCTTTCCCGGTATGTAAAACTCCTTCACATTCACCTTTTGAATATGCATTACCCCTTAAAACAAAACTGCCAATAGCTGCCTTCTTAAGTTTTTCTAAATACTACTGTTATTGCATGATAGTTTTTGCTCTATTCTTTTGGCTATCATAAATTTAGAACACTTCTCACAACATCATGAGCCAAAAAGCATTCTTGACCTGTCTTCATCTATACACACCCAAAACTTACAGGATAGCACATACAAAACCTTGAAGAAAAGCTCAGGATACAGTTGCAATTTTTTTAATACCTAGATACAGTCATAGAGTGGGAACAATGGGTTAATGAAATAGTAACATTCAGTAACATTCCAGTACCATTATGAACTTTGGTCATATGCTGATAAAAGCAGGTCAAGTCTGCCTCCAGACTGACAAGGATTTCATTAAAAGATGCCCCTAAAACATACCTTATCACCAGTACTGCAAATACCAAGGCCAAATCTGAGTTTAAAAGAAGGCTTGAAGAGTTGGACTTTGAGTATAAGTAAGTATTGAGAATAATTTATGTTACTTGCATTTTGCTTTTATGTTTCACAAGTTGTGTTTAATATCTACATACATATAACTAAGTTTTTAAGGGGCTCCTTCAACATCTGTAAATGAACCTCCAAGCAATATGAGTTCATTGTGATGTTCAATACGCAGCAGCTATTTCTGTCTTTTTAGAACATATTATAAGCACTCAATAACTAATAGAGGCTGGCAAGATGGCTCCACAGGTAAAGCCATGTTGTCAATTCTGCCGATCTGTTCGATCCCCAGAACCCACATGATGGCAGGAGATAACTGACTCCACATGGAAGTGAGAGGCCCACTTGTGGAGTCAGTTTTTATTTAATAAAAATATTAAGAGTTACTGGCATCTTACAGGACATACTCTGAAGATTTTTTTTCTTAAGTACCACTGACTTAAAGTAAAAAGCTTATGAAAAATAAGTAACTGTCCCTCTTTATGGGCAGGAAATCAACAATTACATAAGATGAAATATAATTTTCCATTTATTACAAGATAAATGAGAAGTTGGATTAAACTATAAAGACAAAGATATTTAAGACTACTATTGTGAGAGTTATTGATTCATATAAATAATAGGTGAATTTTCCATTTTAAAGCAGTAAAATATGAGAAGTACTTGTTATACAGCAAGATACCAAGCAAAATTATTCATTATCTATGTCTCCAATATTCCATATTATTTATATTTTTGTTAATCATAGTTTTAAAAATCTACTGTACAAGTTATTAATAAATTGGATGGTCTTATTTAATTGTATTCACTAAGAATAAAAGCCTTGGGGCTGGAGAGATGGCTCAGTGGTTAAGAACACTGGTTGTTCTTGCAGAAGACCCAGGTTCAAATCCCAACACCCACATGGCACCTAACAACTGTTCGTAACTCCAGTTCCAGGGGATCTGATGGCCTCTTCTGTCCTCCACAGGCATTCCACAACACAGGTGCACTTACCTACATGCAGGCAATACACACATACACATAAAAGTAATAAATAAAATATTTTTAAAAAAAGAATCAAAGACTCAAAGACTTACGCCCGGTATGGTAGCACACGCCTGTAATCCCAGAGCACGAAAGGCTGAAGCAAGTAGGCTGAGAGTTCACGGGCAGCCTGAGCTACATAGTGAGACCCAATCTTAAAAAATTAAAGAAGAAAAGAAAGACCAGAAAAAGCTCTCTAAATTCTGCTAAGTATATTTGTAATCAGATTATATAGGTATATTTTAATGAGTGAATACTAAATTTGAAAAAGATAATCCTGAATGAACGCTGCCTTTGCTTCAGATAAGGAATATTACTGACAAACAAGACACCCAAAGTCAGAAGACTAGATGTCCTCTGCTGACAAGGAGGATACCTGCTGAAGTGATTTTCACTGGCACTCTGTGGTACAAGTCCTGTCTCTGGTATACTTGTCAGACATGAAAAGAGCTCCTCTGAAAGACCTCCACCACTTGTAGGCTTCTCCATAGATTCAGTAAGTCTCTTCACAGGTCACTTCAGCAACAACTCTTCCCCAGCAGCTGAAAGTGGGGAAACAGTTGTTATAAGCATCATTTCAGTAGTGATCAGTCAGCTCTATCTATTTATCCCCAGCTCAACCTAAAATACTCTTTCTTAAGGATGAGAAAAGCAGACAGGGGACAGTATTTCCAAACTGTACCAAAGGATCTGCTTTCAGTCAACTCTGGAGATGTCATTTGTAAAATGTGAATATTTATGAATTCCTCCAAAATTGCCCTATTTTAAGTGAAGAGATAGCACTTTGAACAAGGCTGTTTTCACGATTCTTTAGTGGTGAGGTGTCTCTCTGACTTCACTTAATGTTTACACAAGATCAAGGTTACGTTTAAGGTTTTCCGTATTGTTTCCATATATTTATAATTATGTTTTAGATTTCCATATTAAAAAAGCATTGTTCAAGAACTGTCAATACTTTAGGTACAGGTGAAATTATAGGTTGAAAATTATTCATAATATTTAATAAGTAACTCAGAAACCTCCCAAAGCATCTGTAAAAAAATTAATTTTTGTTTGAAATTTTTATTTACTGCAGAAATAGATATTTACTGGCTGAAATCTAAAAGGAAATTCTTAATAATCTGCAAATAGCCTAAAATGATCCTTCCGGATCTCTTGTACTGAATTATGCAACATCTGTTACTATGGAATTATTAGACACTGAGATCCTTACAGTCCAGAAGAATTTAAAATGCACAGGTAAACAGATCAAATGAAACACCAAACTAAGGCTAAAGAGAAATATGGTCTGAAAAGTCACAGCAAACCGTCTATGGGTTTGGAGGTCTGGAATAGCCACAGCCCCTCAGAGGAATTGGTGTTTATCTTTCACCCATTTGCTTGTTTAAATATTTATCTCTACATACTGGAATCTCAAGAAAGAATGTCTTGTTTATAGTTGAACCCTAAACACTTGTACACAAGCCCTGTCAAACACCTGGAGAGTACATAAGGTTTAGAGCTCTCAATGCATGTGACAGATGGCCACTTCTTATTCATCCTTTGATTCATTTGGGGGGAAATCATTAAAAGACAAGTGGTTTCTACATTTAGAATAAAAACCTGAAAACAATGTAAGAGGAGAGGGCTCTTCCATTTTTAGAAAATATTTTATAAAATGAGATTCAGTTTGGCGTCAATATTTTAAATGAATTCTTGCAACCATACATAGCTCACTGTTCTAAATTTTTTTCACAGGATAAATTATATAGCAAAAATTTTCTGCTTCCTCATCTATAATTGTTAACTGTGCAAATTAATAAAGTTTACAAATTGTGAAAATGGGGATCTGTGATGGTTAGTTTCAATTGTCAACTTGACACAATCTAGAATCACTGGGCAGAGTCTCAATGAGGAATTGGCTAGATTGAGTTGTCATGTGGGTATGCCTGTGAGGGATTTCTTAGTTGGGTCAATTGAGTTGTAAGATCCACCCTGAATGTGGGTGACACCATATCTTGGGCTGAGCCTTGGGCTGAATGAAGAGAAGGGGGCCAGCAGAGCACTGGGGAGCAGGTATGCATTCCTTCTCTCTCTGGCCTTGACTGTGGATGTGACTAGTAGCTTCAAATTTCAAGGGACTTTGCAAGGGACTGTAACATGGGATTGTGAGCCAAACAAACCTTTGCCTCTTATTAAAATTGCTTTTGTCAGAGTATGTTGTCACAGCAACAGAAAACAAAGTCTAAGAATGCCTTCTAAAATATCAACGTCATCAGATTCCTCAAAAGACAATGCAGAGAATACAGTGAGTCCTAAATTATTCCACAGATGCAGTCACCAGTCATTTTTCAAGACAAAATTGTCCACATGGTCAAAAGCTCTTCATTCTTTTGGTGTTGTGACAGTTCTCTAACCAAAAACAGATTCATGCTGAACAAAAACACAATACTTTTTCTTTAGCATAAAAAAAAAATCCTGCGTTGGGGAAGGGTTCTAAATATGATTAAGATGTGTTATATGAAATATACAAAATTTCAATAAAAATATATATTGAAAAAATTAGCAAGAGCAAAAAAATTTTAATCCTATTTTTATAAAATACACACTCATTTCAGCAAACCAAATGTATTTCTGTATCTAGAAAATCATCGGTGTTGTGCATGTGCAATGTACTGCCAATTGACAAATGTATTGCGCTTCTGAACAACTTGTAAGTGATGAAATAAAACCCATTCTACATACATGGGAGACAATGATGTAACTACAATCACACAACTAAGCTCCATTTTGGCCAACAGCCAGTGCTTGAGGACACTGGCATTACAGTGGTCAGAGAAAAGAAGCATCAGGCACCCAAATCAGTCAGGAACATGCTTGTTTAAAACAAATTTCTCAGAGGGTGGGTTCCAATCTCCATCTGTGTAGTGGCTGTGGTCTCAGCAGACCACCACAGCGTGCCTGTTTCTGGCCTCCCTCTGACATAGGGACTGAGAACTCAGCAGACCAACTGAGAGTTCCAAAATCAGCCCTCCCCCCCCTTAGGGAACTTCCCAAATTTTGCTCTGAATTCCCACTAATAGGGGCCCAAACCTTAGAAGGAAGCCTGAGTGTACCTGACTGGAACCTGACTTGGGCTTCTGCGGGCGCTCCTAAGTAGCTGATCTGAAGCCATCAGCTCCCTCCAAAATAAATCCTGAGAGAAGCTGAAACCTGAACCAACCAGCTATACATAACCAATAAGAAAAGGACCAAGGCACACTAATAATACAAACAGAAGCATACTTCAACTTATTCTCATAACAGAACCACAAACAACAAAAGAAATCCACATGCCAAAATCACAACAAAATAAAATGGAAAGCCAAAACACTACGCCCCCACCAAACTCCACCACTCCTGGAGAAGAGTTCTACAAGGAGAACCCACTACAGATGACCAAGGACACAGAATTTAAAAGAACAATCATGAACATGATGAAGGAATTCAACGAATTTAAAGAACACATGAACAAACAAATCAACGAACTAAAAGAAGATAGGGAAAAACTTCTGAATGAATTCACAAAAGAAATAGAAATATTGAAGAAAACTCAGGCAGAAATGAAGAAGGAAGTGAAAAACTCAATAAGCCAACTTGAAACAACAGGGGAAAGCCTACCCCTGGAATGAATGAAATGGAAAACAGAATATCAACACTGCAGGATAAAGCTGAAGAAATGGACCACTCAAGCAAAGATTATGAAAAATTTAAAACACAGGAATGGAATATGCAAGAGATGTGGGACACCATGAAAAGACCAAATCTATGTATCATAAGCATAGAGGAAGGAGAAGAATTTCAGGTTAATGGTAGTGACCATATCTTAAAGAGATTGTAGAAGAGAATTTCTCGAAATTAAGGAAAGACATCCCCTAAATACAGGAAGCACATAGAACACCAAATAGAAAGGATCATAAAAGAAACTCCCTATAACATATCATAGTAAAAACATTAAATGTACAGAAAAAAGAAAGAATACTGAAAGCAGCAAAAGAAAAACAACAAGTCACATACAAAGGAAAGCCCATGACAATTACAGGTGACTTATCAATGCAAACTAGGAAAGCCAGAAGAGCCTGGACCAAGGTATTTCCAGTTCTAAACAACAACAGATGCCAACCCAGAATACTTTACCCAGCAAAAATGTCTATTATAGTTGAGGGGGGAAAGAAAAATCTTCCATGACACCAAAAGTCTGAAAGAATACATGCCCATGAAACCAGCCCTTCAAAGAATACTTGAAGCAATACAAAGAGAGGAGAAAGGAACAACTATACCCCAGGGGCAACGAAAGAAAATGAATAAAGATGTAATTGAGGAAACACAACATTAGACAAAGAACACAAACAGCAATCAAAATGACAACAACAAATACACATCTTTCAATAATAACCTTAAATATCAATGGACTGAACTCCCAGTCAAAAGACACAGGCTAACTGAATGGATTAAGAAACAAAATCCAGGGCTGGAGAGATGACTCAGTGGTTAAGATCACTGGTTGTTCTTGCAGAAGACCCAGGTTCAATCCCAGCACCCATATGGCAACTAACAATTGTCCATTACTCCAGTTCCAGGGGATCCAGGGGACAGGATGCCTTCTTCTGTCCTCTGCGGGCATTGCACAATATGGGTGCACTTTCCTACAATGCAGGAAATACACTCACACATATAAAATAAAAATAATAAATAAAATATTTTTTAAAAATCCATCTTTGTGCTCTTTGCAAGAAACCCATCTCACCTTCAAGGACAGGCACTACCTTAAGGTAAAAGGATGGAAAACAATATTCCAAGCAAAATATCACTAAGAAACAACCAGGGGTTGCAAACCTAATATCTGACAAAATAGACTTCAAACTAAAACTAATCAGAAGAGATAAGGAGGGTCATTTCATTCTCATCAAAGGAACAGTTAACCAAGAAGATATTAGAATCCTTAACATATATGCACCAAACTCTGGTGTACCCAAATTCATAAAAGCAACACTACAGGACTTTACCACATAGATTAACACCAACTCAGTAATAGTAGGGGACTTCTATACCATACTGTCTCCATTAAACAGGTCAACTGGACAAAGAATAAACAGAGGGACATCTGAATTAAAAGATACCATACATCAAATGGACCTAACAGACATCTTTTGAATATTCCACCCAAGCATCAAATAATACACTTTTTACTCAACACCCCATGGAATGTTTTCAAAAATTGATCACATACTGGGCCACAAAACCTCAACAAATACAAAAAAAATTGAAATAATTCCATGCATTCTATTGGACCACAATGCAACAAAGCTCAAAATCAACGCTGGACAAAGCCCTAGTCACTACACAAACTCGTGGCAATTGAACAACACACTCATAAACAAAGGAGAAACAAAGGGTCAAAGGAGAAATTAAGAAAGAAATAAAATAACTCCTGGAATTCAATGAAAAGGATAATACAACACAACCTCTGGGACACGTTACAAGCAGTCCAAAGAGAGAAGTTTATACCTCTAAGTGCCTACAT